CTGCGAGCTCGCGCGCCGCGCGGCGCCGGGCAGGACAAGGGTGATTCAACGTCGCTTCAACGTGAGTGTTCCGCGCGCGCGCGTTCCGGAAAAAGCATCCACGCTTCGAGACCGTTCCGAGAGATGATCGCTCGTCCAAAAATCAGCCGAAACGAGTGGAAACCGGCCGAGCTAGGAGCCTTTGAAGTTGGGAATTTCGCTCTCTTGTCCTGCCCAGGCGCGGCGCCGGCCGCGACGGTCCTCGAGCAGGACCTGTGCGACCTCCGGCTCCCGCCGGAGACCTTCGACGGCGTCTTCGCGAACGCGTCCCTCTTCCACGTGCCGCGCGAGCACCTCGCCGAGCTCCTCGCGCGCATCCGCGCGTGCCTCAAGCCCGGCGGGCGCTTCTTCTGCTCCAACGCCCACGGCTTCGGCGAGGACAAGGAGGGCTGGACCCAGGGCCGGACGCCGTCGACGCGGTCCTGGGTCTGCTGGCTCAGCGAGGCGTCCTGGAACGCCGCGTGCGAGGCCGCGGGCTTCGCGCTCGCGGACTCGTACTACCGCGGCTCGTCGAAGGCGTTCCTCGCGACGGTCTGGGCGAAGCCCCGGGCGTCCTAAGCCAACTGCCGCAGTAGACTTTCCGTGCTAAGGCGGCCCGCCCCCCTGCGGGCACGGACGACTCCTGGGCCCCCACTGTTACAACCGCGCGTAGCCCGCGGCGGCGGCGTCGCCGCCGCAGCAGGCGCACCAGCCGCAGCAGTAGGCGAGGACGCCCGCGGCGCAGCAGCAGAAGACCGCGACGGCCGCGAGCACCGCGACGAGCATCCAGTTCTCCTCCCACCACTTCTCCGGCGAGGACGCCTTGATCGCCGTCATGTTGTAGGGGCAGAAGTCCATGGAGTCGCCCGAGCCGAGCTTCGCGCAGTAGTCCAGCGGGTCCACGAGCTCCGGGTGGAAGAACGTCCAGTCGAAGTTGCCCTGGAACTCGACGCCTAGACCGGACGCGCCGCGGCACCAGTTGCTGCCCCAGTCGTAGGAGTCGTTGCCGTTGTGGAAGCCGACGTCGTTCCGGCAGAGCGACTCCGCGTTCGCGTCGAGGCTCAGCGAGTCGGGCCCGCCCAGGGACACGCCGATGTGGTTGTCGACGTAGCGCGCGTAGCCCGTGTTGCACGCGATCAACTCGTCCTGCGCCTCCGTCACGTACGACGCGAAGAAACTCACGTTGTAGCCCCGCTTCGCCGCGCGGCGGTTGTGGATCGACACGACCTCCATGGCCCAGCCCGCGAGCGTCGCGTCGATGTTGAGCAGCGAGCGCGTCCACGTGCACGATTCCGCGTCGGTCTCGTGCGAGAACGTCGACGCGCCGACCTGCTGGTCGCTGTGGGCCTCGAGAAACTCCGGGATGGCGGCGGCGTCCGT